GTTTGCTCTTCCTGGTTACCTAGGTAGGGAACGAGATCTGGAATTCAAAGTAAACCCCGGTGAAATGAACGTTTCTCTACAATTTGTATCCTGACTTTAATAACATACAGGTAATCTTTAAAATGTGGATAAACTTGTATATGGTAGCTACCTACATACATTTCCTTTCAATGCCTTTATCGTAGCTAGTGGTATTTTGCTTGCATTGCTCCAGTTAGCGTAGCACAGTTTGTTGTGGTCACGACACAAGGAGTTTCTGCTGCTACTGACTGTAGCTAGTTTTGTTTTAATATCTAACGGTAATTAACTAGCTTGCTATTTATGATGTTGGTTTTCAGTATTAGGAAATGGCTGATGTAACTATCTAGCTATTTAACTGCTGGATAAATTAACTAATTGCTGTGATAGGTAATGATTTGCGAGACATAGCTAATTTGCTAACTGCAACAACTAGCTAACGTTAGCTACCGTAGTAACATTAATCTAGAAAGAGTTCGCTCAAAAGGTAGCTAATTTAGCAATGTACAGTAGATATTAGCCGATTGGCTAACTACTACTAGAAGGCTGGCGTTTGTTAGCTTGATTTCTTGCAGTTTCCAAACATTAGATACCTATCTGGTTTTCCTTTCCAATGCATCTCTATGTCTGATACACGAGAGATAAGAGCTAACAAGCTTGCTAGCTTCTGCACTAGCCCAATAATGGACTAAAGGAGCCTAACGTTACCCAAGGACCTTCGCTACATGTTCTGTTCAGAGGCAAATTGGTTCTGGCATCCAAACCAGCTAAATACTCCATCTAAACGTGAATCAATTACAGTACGGTTCTAGAAACATAAAGTAATCTACTTTCATATCACATTAAAATCATTTTACAAATGCAAAATATACTTACAGGTTGTTGGTGGCACCTTAATTGGGGAGGACGGGGTTGTGGCAATGGATGGAATGGTATAAAATACATCAAACACATGGTTTGATTCGAATCCATTTACTCCAGCCATTATTATGAGCCGGCCTCCCCTCAGCTGTGGTCTATCTTGGGTTAGTTATACAAATCTTTGATTATGCTAGCTCAATCACCCACAGAGCTATGGCTAATTTAGGCTCCTATAAGGGTGGACATTTTCTTAGAAAATATATTAAATCAATTACTCAATATTTATTTATATTTGCATAATAACATTGTATGTATATTTAGATACGTATTTGTTGCTAATTACATTACAAGTACTAATTACAGTTACATATGTTCATGTAGCCTAATATAAGTAATTGTAATGTGTATATATAATTGTAATGCAATTAAGCTAGCAACAATATATATAAATAAATAATAATACTTTTCATCTTGTTTTACAAACTCAGGTTGACGATGTTATTAAAAAGACAGATACAAAATAATTGCAAATTGAATAAATAGAAAGTGATGTAAACTGATGCACAATATTAATTATTATTTTAGGAGTAATGTTTTTTCAACCATTTCACAGATGTAAAATATATGACTAAATTAAATTGTTATTCACTCTTATTTGGAAAAATTGGGGAGGGGGGCAAATAAGCACGGGTTCTGAAAATAACACGTTTCACTCAATAACCTAATCATTGTTTTATAATTATTTGAAGAAAACACATGAATGTGATAGAATAAGGGACATTTGATGTCTTACAAAATCTAGATACAGTATATACATGCATTGTTAACACTTTCAGAAAGTTGTGTATTTCCCTAACAGGGTGGAAATATGTCGTGGTCCACGTGTAAACAATCCGCCTATAAGTATTATGATTTAAGTGCCCGAGGTTGACCAATATGTTTTTCTGAAAGACAAACTTCCTTTTTCTCATGGAATACTACATAAAAAAATATATACAGTGAGGGAAAAAAGTATTTGATCCCCAGCTGATTTTGTACGTTTGCCCACTGACAAAGAAATTATGAATCTATAATTTTTATGGTAGGTTTATTTGAACAGTGAGAGATAGAATAACAACAAAGAAAATCTAGAAAAACGCATGTCAAAAATGTTATAAATTGATTAGCATTTTAATGAGGGAAATAAGTATTTGACCCCCTCTCAATTAGAAAGATTTCTGGCTCCCAGGTGTCTTTTTATACAGGTAACGAGCTGAGATTAGGAGTACACTCTTAAAGGGAGTGCTCCTAATCTCAGCTTGTTACCTGTATAAAAGACACCTGTCCACAGAAGCAATCAATCAATCAGATTCCAAACTCTCCACCATGACCAAGACCAAAGAGCTCTCCAAGGATGTCAGGGACAAGATTGTAGACCTACACAAGGCTGGAATGGGCTACAAGACCATCGCCAAGCAGCTTGGTGAGAAGGTGACAACAGTTGGTGCGATTATTCGTAAATGGAAGAAACACAACATAACTGTCAATCTCCCTCGGCCTGGGGCTCCAAGCAAGAGCTCACCTTGTGGAGTTGCAATGATCATGAGAACGGTGAGGAATCAGCCCAGAACTACACGGGAGGATCTTGTCAATGATCTCAAGGCAGCTGGGACCATAGTCACCAAGAAAACAATTGGTAACACACTACGCTGTGAAGGACTGAAATCCTGCAGCGCCCGCAAGGTCCCCCTTCTCAAGAAAGCACATATACAGGGCCGTCTGAAGTTTGCCAATGAACATCTGAATGATTCAGAGGAGAACTGGGTGAAAGTGTTGTGGTCAGATGAGACCAAAATCGAGCTCTTTCGCATCAACTCAACTCGCCGTGTTAGGAGGAGGAGGAATGCTGCCTATGACCCCAAGAACACCATCCCCATCATCAAACATGGAGGTGGAAACATTATGCTTTGGGGGTGTTTTTCTGCTAAGGGGACAGGACAACTTCACCGCATCAAAGGGACGATGGACGGGGCCATGTACCGTCAAATCTTGGGTGAGAACCTCCTTCCCTCAGCCAGTGCATTGAAAATGGGTCGTGGATGGGTATTCCAGCATGACAATGACCCAAAACACACGGCCAAGGCAACAAAGGAGTGACTCAATAAGAAGCACATTAAGGTCCTGGAGTGGCCTAGCTAGTCTCCAGACCTTAATCCCATAGAAAATCTGTGGAGGGAGCTGAAGGTTCGAGTTGCCAAACGTCAGCCTCGAAACCTTAATGACTTGGAGAAGATCTGCAAAGAGGAGTGGAACACAATCCCTCCTGAGATGTGTGCTTCATGTAAGTAAGTCATGTTTTGCAGCGGGGTCAAATACTTATTTCCCTCATTAAAATGCTAATCAATTTATAACATTTTTGACATTCGTTTTTCTGGATTTTTTTGTTGTTATTCTGTCTCTCACTGTTCAAATAAACCTACCATTAAAATTATAGACTGATCATGTCTTTGTCAGTGGGCAAACGTACAAAATCAGCAGGGGATCAAATACTTTTTTCCCTCACTGTGTATATACTCCCCCCCCCCCCCCCCCCCCCAAAAAAAAGTTATGACTTCCAAAAGGCACCACCTAGTAGGAATGACCCAGCTAGCTATAGTTGCCAACAATATGGAGTAGGCAGCTATAATTTGCTAGCTAGTTAGTGATTGAATCTGATAAAATAATCATTTGTTTTTTTCTATGCTCACTGTATAGGCCTAATTATCAAATATGCTTCTACTGCCTGTTTGGGATTTTATTAGGATCTGCATTAGCTGTTGCGAAAGCAGCAGCTACTCTACCTGGGGTCCACACAAAACATAAAACATGACATAAAACAGAACAATAATAAACAAGAACCGCTGAAGGACAGAACTACATGAATAAAAAAATGCACACAGGCTACGTATCAATACATACACACAAAATATCTAGGTCAAATAGGCGAGAGGCGTTGTGCCGTGAGATGTTGCTTCATCGGTTTTTTCAAACCAGATCTGCTGTTCATTTGAGCAATATGAGATGGAAGGGAGTTCCATGCAATACTGGCTTTATATAATACTGTACACTTTCTTGAATTTGTTCTGGATTTGGGGACTGTGAAAATACCCCTGGTGGCATGTCTGGTGGGGTAAGTGTGTGTGTCAGAGCTGTGTGTAAGTTGACTATGCAAACAATTTGGAATTTTCAACATAATTTCTCTTATAAAAATAAGAAGTGATGCAGTCAGTCTCTCCTCAACTCTTAGCCAAGAGTAACTGGCATGCATAGTATTAATATTAGCCCTCTGATTACAATGAAGAGCAAGATGTGCCGCTCTGTCCTGGTCCAGCTTCAGGTTAACTATGTCTTTCTTTGCAGCACTTGGACACATGGCTGGACAATAATCAAGATAAGACAAAACTAGAGCCTGCAAGACTTGCTTTTTGGAGTGTGGTGTCAAAAAAGCAGAGCGTCTCTTTAGTATGGACATACCTCTCCCCATCTTGACAACCATTGAATCTATATGTTTTGACCATGATAGTTTACAATGTAAGGTAACACCAAGTAATTGTCTCCTCAACTCGTTCAACAGCCACACACAGCATTCATTACCAGATTCACCTGAGTTTTAGAGCTTAGGGAATGATTTGTACCAAATACAATGCTCTTAGTTTTAGAGATGTTCAGGACCAGTTTATTACTTACCACCCATTCCAAAACTGACTGCAGATCCTTGTTAAGGGTTTCAGTGACTTCATTAGCTGTGGTTGCTTACACGTATATTGTTCAGTCATCAGCTTACAAGGACACACAGGCTTTGTTTAATGCCCGTTTGCTAAGAGCTGGCAGCAAGCTGATATGTCTGCTGTTAGAACCAGTAAAGGCTTCACTCCAGGCCTGAGGACAAACACCTTCCTCTAGATTCAGATTAAAGATATGACAGATAGGAGTGGCCATAGTCAGCTACCATCCTCAGTAGCTTTCCATCTAAGTTGTCAATGCCAGGAGGTTTGTCATGCTTATGTTGATAACGTTAAGGGTAAACCATATCTACCGGGATGAAAACTGCCCACTGGTATAGCTGAAGGGATCTAGCTAGCTAGCTGCCCAGCCCATATTCTCTATTTGATTTTCCCATTGACAGGTGCTGTGCTGTCAAAGTAGTAGATGGAGGTAAACAACATGCCAACGCCACAAGTCCTGCAACCAGTGCTAAAAATGAAAGTGGACGAGCTCTTCCTCAACTGGTTGAGTGAGCCAACGACCCAGACGATACTCAAAGACTACCTCGGCCTGATCAAGAGTGGACAGACCATTGACCTGGGGCTCGGGGACACTAAGGACAAAAGGTTGATGACCTTCAATGAGAACAACAATGTGGCGTCAAAGAGAAGTCTGTCAGAGAGGTCTTCTGCACCCCTCTGTGCGCCTTCCAGTCCCCCTTCTACACACACACTACCCTCTGGGAGCAGTAGTAACGCCAGAGTAGTGGGACCCAATGGGAGAACGCTACGGAGGTCTGTCAGCACTAAAAAGGTAAGGCTGCTGCTCATCGTCTGGCTCAATAGACTCATTTATCTCGGTCCCAATTCATAAACCTCTACCCCTAGACATTTCTCTTTGATCTGACGTCATTGGATGATTGTATTCGGAAAGTATTCAGACTCCTTGCCTTTTTCCAAATTTTTTTACGTTACAGCCTTATTCTAAAATTGATTAAATAAAAACGGTTTCTCCTCAATCAACACACAATACCCCCATAACGACAAAGCGAAAACAGGTTTTTAGAAATGTTTGCAAATGTATAAAATATTTATTTAAGTATTCAGACCCTTTGCTATGAGACTCGAAATTGAGCTCAGGTGCATCCCGTTTCCATTGATCATCCTTGATGTTTCTACAACTTGATTGGAGTCCACCTGTGGTAAATTCAATTGATTGGACATGATTTGGAAAGGCACACACCTGTCTATATAAGGTCCCACAGTTGACAGTGCATGTCAGAGCAAAAACCAAGCCATGAGGTCGAAGGAATTGTCCATAGAGCTCCGAGACAGGATTGTGTCGAGGCACAGATCTAGAGAAGGGTACCAAAAAATGTCTGCAGCATTGAAGGTCCCCAAGAACACAGTGGTCTCCATCATTCTTAAATGGAAGAAGTTTGGAACCACCAAGCCTCTTCCTAGAGCTGGCCGCCCGGCCAAACTGAGCAATCGGGGGAGAAGGGCCTTGATCAGGGAGGTGACCAAGAACCCGATGGTCACTCTGACAGAGCTCTAGAGTCCCTCTGTGGAGATGAGAGAACATTCCAGAAGTACTACCATCTCTGCAGCAGTCCACCAATTAGGCCTTTATGGTAGAGTGGCCAGACGGAAGCCACTCCTCAGTAAAAGGCACATGACAGCCTGCTTGGAGTTTGCCAAAAGGCACCTAAAGACTCTCAGACCATGAGAAACAAGATTCTCTGATCTGATGAAACCAAGATTTAACTCTTTGGCCTGAATGCCAAGCGTCACTTCTGGAGGAGACCTGTCACCATCCCTACGGTGAAGCATGGTGGTGGCAGCATCATGCTGTGTGGATGTTTTTCAGTGGCAGGGACTGGGAGTCTAGTCAGGATCGAGGCAAAGATGAACGGAGCAAATTACAGAGAGATCCTTGATGATAACCTGCTCCAGAGTGCTCAGGACCTCAGACTGGGGCGAAGGTCACCTTCCACGTTTTTGCTTTGTCATTATGGGGTATTGTGTGTAGATTGATGGGGAAAAAACTATTTAATGAATTTTATAATAAGGCTGTAACCTAATAAAATGTGGAAAATGTAAAGGGGTCTGAATACTTTCCGAAGGCACTGTATATATGGAAAAGTACACGTTTAAACATTTCGATCAAAAGAACAGATGACTCTCGGTTGACCAATATATTAATTTTTTCGGGGACCGCTGCGCCACTCGAGAGGCCCCTCTGTTCTAGTGCTTTGATACTCCCTTTCCCCAGTCTTGCCACAAGAGGCTGCTGAGTGGTCTCATACAGAGCCAAGCCAGATGAGGCAAGATTTGTCTTTCTCTCTCCCTATAACCTGAATTCCAGTCTGTTTCAGCAAAAGCCATCTATACTCAAATTTGTTTCAGTCTTGTTTGGAGATCTAGCCAAGTAGTTATGTTAGTGTGTGTTAACTTTGCTGCTGTAGATTAGAATTTATGTGCGTTTTGCCCATACATGACATTAAATGAATGGAGTACAGTGAATGCCATTCCCTAGACCGGGTGCCCTCCACACTCAGGCGAGAACATTCCTGCCTGGATGTGACGGTGGCTCAAGGTTTCCATTAGGAACATTTGGTGCTGGATAATGAACGTGACTGGCAACATTTTTATTTATCTGACATTTGAGAAATTTACCCGACATCCATATGCATTGGGTGCGTAACCCATTAGGGCTTCCATCCCCGGTGCTCAGAATGACAGAAATCGCATTTAGATTGTTCATTCATTTTAACAGAATAAAAATAGCCTTGCAATAATAAAGTAGAACAATGTTCTTATACCAACATGACAGGTTTTTTGGAAAAGCAAAACATCTTCATCTCTGCTATAAATCATACGTAAATATCATTAAAAAAAACAAAAAAAACATTTAGGCTAGAAAAACAAGTTGCCCTACACTGTAATAAAACACAATTTATATTTATATACACAATAATATTTTTTATAATATAATTAGCCTATTTGTATGAGTTTAATAAATAAATAACAAAACATAGCTGTTTTCTAATATAATCTAGCCCTCTAATTTAATTTAGCCTAGGCATGGACATTGTAATTATAAAATTACAAAACATGGCTGTCTACGAACACAATAATTTGTCTTGGCCTGCTCAAAGTGAGCCGCTACTGTTGGGAAGTCAAAACTGTCCAACTCCTTGGAGCAGCTTGCGATGCGCATCAGCCTCGTTACGTTGTCCTCAAGAAGGTGTGATCTTGAGGCCATCTCTACTCTGTTTTGGAGAGAGAATCCCCTCCCGACGGGCACACTGGAAACGGGGATAATAAACACAATTTTGCCCAGTCGGTGTATACTTCACGGAAGTTATTAGCATATGAAGTATATTTGCCTTTTGAAGTTGGAGTACATTGACTGGTATTTCCATCAATGAATAAAAAGCATTATTTTGCAATTGGATTTTTTTTTGTCCAGCAACAATTTTATTTATTATATTTTCATTGCCGGCTAACGGAAACCCTGCTGTGGTTGTAATGTGATAACAGTGAGCCGCCCAGACAGCTGAGAACACACATCCTCCCCCTCCCTATCCCGAATGTTGACATTGCGTCTGTGCCTAGGTGAAGGTGCCAAGCCCTTTAGAAGCACCAACTAGGAATGCAAATGCAGACAGACACCAACATTTTCTGGTGAAACCAAGTCCCAGGTATGGGAATGCTGTCACAGACCTGAGGAGAGACACAAATAACTAGTCAGTATTTAAAGGGGCAATCTGGGATTGGTACATCCATTTTCACCCATTAAATTCATGATAAAAAGCAGGGATGGGCAACTCCAGTCCTTTGGAGCCCGAGTGGTGTGACACTTTTTCCCCATCCCTAGCAAACACAGCTGATTAAACTAAATTCATTCTAAACTGAAGATCATGATTAGTAGATTATTGGAGTCTGGTGTGTTAGCTGGGTCTGGGACAAAAGTGTGACACCAATCTAACACTGTAGCTTCAAAACAGTTAAAAGTAGCCTACCATTTTGATATCGTAGATCATGGCTCTCCAACTATGTTCCTGGAGAGCTACCGTCCTGTAGGCTTTCCCTCCCAACCCTAATCTAGCGCACCCGATTCAAATAATTAGCTGGTTGATAAATTGAATCCAGTTAGTTACAACTAGGGTTGGATTGCAAACCTACTAGAGGTTTGCTCTCCAGGTACAGGGTTTGAGAGTACAGTTACATACACAAAATAATGTGATTATTGTGGATAGTCAGATTAATATAATAGTTTGGTTAAAACGATTACATGCTTTGCAAGATGAACAATTTCCCTAATAATCCTGTTTACATGGACACATCTAAAATCAGGTTACCTGATGGCACTCTGATAAATGCAGAAATTGCGAATCAAAATAAACGTTCTACCACAGCGACCATGTTATTTTTCTGAAGCATATTTGATTCTGAGTTCGGACATAAAATGTGTATGTGAAAACTACTTCTAGACGCACACATTGTTGTTCCAAACTCACTTCACTCACACTAAAGAGAGCGGCTCGCTCGTCTGGTGCTAGCACATGCACATATCAAATACAACGCTGTAACGCCGATTTAAGGTGTTTACATGTCCTAATAATTCGAAAGATTACTCAGAGAACCAGGTATGCTTACCGTACTTCGATTTTGACCTTACACCGATTTTAAAATGATCAGAGTAAGGTGTTTATAGGACTATTGCATAATCTGCCAACTGCCATAATCAGTTTAATATCGAATTATTACTGTGCATGGAAACATACTCATTGATGGTCAGTTCCTGCATCCATAGCTAAGCTGTGTCTATGAATTTGAGTGGTTACATTTCTCAAGCCCCATCCTTCAGCTGTTTATCAAATCAAGTGGCGGGGTGCCCGCTTTGTTGTTTTTCGAATCCCAGATTGCCATTTAAAAAGTGTTAGGCCTAGTTAGATTGTGTATGATACTAAGAGCTATCCTATCAGCAAGTCCCATATTCCATGATCTTAAGATGGATTGTGAAGCAGTCCCAAGTCCTTTCTTGGGTTCTGGACAGGGACACAAAAACAAATGCACAAGGCTCTGTATGTCTCAGTCACTCAGATAATCACTTGCATGGCATGGTTCTCAAAGCTAAAGAGTGGGTGCAGTCAAAGCAAAACCAATATTTTCTTAGTATTCAACAAGGGACAGTTTAAATGGCCTAGTCTCTGGCCACAACAGTAATTGGCAGAAAATAGAGTAATGCAACAGAACCATTCAGCCTCCTCCGTATCTGTGGATTTCAGTCAGATAATGGTATTTTCTCAAGAGAGACATCTGTTGGTAATGAATCTCTTGTCATAGGCTCTCCCTCTCTGTGTCTGCTAGGGCTCGGATGATACAAGTATCGCGATACTCATTAGTATCGTGGCGAGGAAACAAAACACGAAGTGGATTAACTTCTTTAGGAAAACAACCCTAATGGTGGAGAAACACATCATTATGTTGTCATCCAGAGTCACATTTATGTATTTTCCAAGCTATAGCACACTATTTTACAGCAGGTTTTTAAAGGACCAAAGGGTTTGGTCTGCTTTGTGTTTTCATTTTTGGCATGGAAGAAATATCGCTGTGAAACGTCAAGAGATTTGACAGATGTGAAAAGGTGATTTCCACGTCCATTCTCTTTTCCCCGAGCTCTTCACTGGTCCTCGGCCCCATTCCCTCCATGCAGCAACTGTTTTGTACAGTCTGTATTTTGTGGCCTGACGTCAGAGGCATGTACCCACAATATGTCACTTCGTATTAAAGTGATTGCTATCGGGCATCAAGTAACACTCTATTTTAAGCAAGCCACAGGAATTCCAGAATACAAATGCATTCTTCAAAGGATTAGATAAAAATTCAATTAACGTCATACTGATGCTGCTCAGAACAGCTGGTCCAACTTTGACACAAGACACTGATATAGATAGCCTTGGTTTCCCTTGTGCTTGCATTAACTACTCAGAACTGAGCCTGGGTGTGCAGGCCGGGGTGGCGGCAGGCAGCAGATTTGTCCTCTGTGTAATTCAGTGAAGAATAACTCTACACAGATGCTGTTAATTGTCTGAGTAAGTGGCGGTCGATCAGTCTTTTGATCTGCTGCAATATGTTTCTGCTGAGGAGAAGGCAGTATATCTACTAGGCATGACCTGAGGTCTCAATGATTTGACATGATCAGTGTTCGGACAATCCCTGTTCGGTTTCTACAATCACTTGTGTGGTTCTCAAACCTGTTTTACTGTGACCCTTCTAAAGTTTTTGGAGCTCGCTCCTGCCTCTTTCTCGTGAAGTTGGCTACAAATAGGCTAGAACAATTCTAGCCAGCACCCATCCTCAAGTCGCAACCCAAAAGGAATCGGCCACTACCCATCAATGGGTCCCAACCCAGCATTTTGGAAACAATTCTGACATGGCTAGGATAACGGTTAGTTAAGAGTAAGACATTCAGTTTTATTTTTCAGGATTCCTAAATATTAGCTTTAGTTGTATGTTGGAAAATGTCTTTAGGTGTATTTTTTGTAATAACATGCTGCTGTGCTTTAACCATGAAGTTATTTCTTGCAAAGGGGGGCCAAAGGGTCACAATATCGGTTGCCTGACCTATCGGGCGACCCAAGTGCTAAACTGCACCTCAAGTGATTTTTATTAGCAAGGCCTTCTTCACCAGAAAATATCCAATCTAGTAACAACAGTGTCATTACGGCAGCTAAGGGCTTGTTCAGTTCCCAATTACTAGGCCTATATAATAATATAATATAATATAAATAATAATAATAATATACAACCAGCCAACCTTTTCTATTCTGAAACACTTTATTTCACTGACTTTAACCTGGACCTAACCAAATAAGTTTTTTTTTTCTTATTGTTTTAGCCTACTTAAGACCAGGGCTTTGTCACCACTGTGTTATGTTATCTGAGCAGGAACATGAAGGGCTACGTCAAACCCATAGTTTTTTTGATCAGGTCATTTGGTCAGGAAAAAACTTGTGTATCAGTAGCTCAATAGCAGTTAGTCTAGTTCCAGTCGTTGTTGTTGATATAGGCCATCTAGCCCTTTGCTCCAGTTAGTCGCCACATCGGCCGTATGGATTTTCCCCTAAACCTCCATGATGACAGTATCATTCTAGCTACTGCCTTATCACTCTTTTATGCAAGCCAGCTGATCCTGCTCACATCATGTTCCGCTAGCAGGCCCTTCCCTAAGCCCGCCATGTAGTCGGTGAAATGGGCCCTATGTTTGGCCTGGGTTCACATGTATTCTCAAATCCCTGTCTCAGCCATAAGATTGAAGAGGATAGACCTGGAGCTTGCTCGATTCCATTTATAGGCTATTCTGCTATTGTTTGTTATTGACTTTCTCCTGCTGTTGGGTCAGAGGGGTCGCTTGCTCGCTCTCGCTCTTTCTCTCTCTTGTGCTCGCTCGCGCTCGCTCTCATGCCGTCGCTCCGTCTCGCGCTCTCTCCTCTCTAGCTCACTCTCTCACCATAATCTCTCACGTTACGCAACAAGCTCTCACTGAGAGCGTGGTATGCTATTTCCTGTTCATATTTAGATCCTTCAGGTTAGACACGTTGCTGGGTGCACTCACTGTGTAAGAATGTGTTTATTTGTCTTTGACAGTGATAGTGTACCATATCAACTTTTGTCTCTCTATGCAATAGTTTTTATTTTGGCAACCAGGGTAGGCTATAGCTTGTCAACAGTAGAGCAGACAATAGCCCAAGGCTGAATTGGTGAGTGGTGCCATTGTTAAGTCGTTTTGGCCTCTGTGTGTGCATGCAAGTGTGCGTGAGTGCATGTGTGTGTGAGAGAGAGTGGCACTGTTGGCACTGACGGCTATCCTCTCCAGTGAAGGCCCATCTGATTCTCCCGGTCAGTCAGTAGTACTCAGTACCAGAGCTCACTGGTACTACAGAGACAGACTTCTCTCTCTCCCTCTCTGTGTTCCATTTTCCAAAGAGAGGCAGTGTCCTAAAGTGTGAACAAACAGATTGTTATCACAGAATAATACCTATATTTATGAAACAAACTTCAGATTATGGCTCTCACTAATGCGAACACTGACAGAAAAAATATTACATGTACTGACAGTTTCATGTGATCAGTTTGTTTGAGTTCTCGTATTTTCCTTTCGTGTTCGCGTCGAGCTGATGAGCGTAGAGGGACAACAAAAGGCAGATTGCAAATGGCTTATCAAACGCGTGCCGTATCCTGCTATTGGGGGACAACAGGAACTAGGTTTGTGCTGAAACCAGTGGAAGAATGTGGACTCTGTGATCCTGTCATCTAAAAATACTTATCATTTTAGCCCGGGTGTGCTTTTCGCTTCACACCCTGCATGTTTACACACCATAACCACACACTGTATTCACTAACACACACACACACACACACAGCTCAAGTCATTTTCAGCCTAATTAGATTTGTTTGCGAGAACAACAACTGCCGTTATAAATACAACGTCTCTCCTCTTGAATGCACCCGTCCTCCACACCTAGGCCGCCTAGTGCTGTTGGATCAGCACGTTTATGGGGAATTGATGTAATTGCTGTCAGTCCAGGACAGGAGGCGGATGTTTGCGCAAGCACTAAAGATACACACTTGTTTCTCCAGATCTGGTTTCTTGGGTTGCCCAAACAGTGCTTGCTGGTGCTTTTAATAGGTGCAGACTGGTTCGGCCATCATTCTTTGAAATTCAACACTTCCCCTTCCATACCGCCGACTAGGGCCCTTCAACTATAATAAGACGTGGAATGGATGGCAGCCCAAGCCTGTGAAGGGAAGGCAAAACAAAGAAAAACCATACGACGTGATGCACAGAGGAAAACTGAGGCTTTTCTTTTCACACTTTTTGTGAGTTGTCACAAGTTTTGATGGCTCCTCATCGGCTCAAGTCTACACATATTCATCCCACAGAAAAATGTGTGCCCTGCCTACATTAAGTTTGAAGTTGGTTAAATATACCTTTTAATATGACGAAGGCCCACTAATGCATCTGGCTGCTGCTACAGCACCTGGTATCTCATGCTGATCAGACTCTCTGAAATCCCAAAGTAATAGGAGGAAGAACTGACGGTGAATCTTGCATTTCGAAGCTCTAGCCCTGAAGAAATGTTTGATACTTCCAACTACCAGCTGGATTGTGGTCATAAAGAGACAGCTCTAGGGTATTTTCCTGTGGCACAGACCTACTAGTGTCTCTCGGAACCGTTGGTGAGCAGGGGGTAATCTTGGCATTCGGCTGTATTCCCAAGTTAGCGGGCCCTCAACAACAGCAGGTCTGTCTCTTTACATAACCTTCTATGAGAGCTGAGGAATGCAAACTGGAAAGGGCATATCCACACCACTCACTCACACTCACACACACACACACACAGTCCTTATCTCCCTAGTGGCTGCTGGTAGGCTGGGGCTCCCTGACCCTAGCAGTCAGTCACTGTGGTGTTTGGTGTGGTGTAGTGTCTGACAGGACAGCAGACAGATAGGCAACGTTTTGAGGCTAGTGACACTGCATCAGCTGCTGCCCAGCGTTAAGAAGTTCTCGCTCTGTTAAAGGACAACCACAGGATCACAGGGACAGAGGAGCGCTACCACTACTTCTACTGCTACTCTGACTTCAAGAGGCTCCCAGGACAAGCACAAGGACAGTGGACACAAACTGAGTATTTCTGTTCTAGTAATTAGCCTAACTACTGCTAGTACTACTACTGCTACTACTCCCACTACTACTCTTGCGATTTCTACTACTGGGACAATCCATAGGAAGATAATCCCATTGGATCAGAGGGTGTAGGTCTGTGTGTGTGCGGAATCATCCCATCCTGTCTGGCGCGAGGATGAGGATGAAGGAGCTCTCGTTGCGTCAGGACCCTGACCTGAGGAAGGAGCTGGCTCTGCTGGCCCGTGGATGTGACTTCGTTCTGCCGTCACGCTTCAAGAAGAGGCTCCGAGCCTTCCACGCTGAGCAAGGACAGGCAGGTGGTCCACTCCCAATACAAGACTCAGTGTTTGAGGGTTTTCAACCTCTCTCTAGTGTTTGTCTTAATGAATGATTGTGTAGGCTAAGCCAGCAAGGACAGACCTGTGGTCCTACTGTAGCCTATACGGTAGCAGTCTGTTGGAGTCCATCTGTCTGTCCATTGATCAACTATGTCCATCAGCGAGTAGGCTGAGAATGTAAAAGCTTTCCAAAAGGACAGGTCCTATACTAAAGCAGTGTAGGACAAACGTTACTGGCTGTGACATGTTTTGTGGCTTCTAACAAGGACATGCATGTTGTCCATCCTATTGCAGTCCGTTACTCTTGGGGTTAGATACATTTTGGATTGTGGCAAGGGAGACTGGGTTAGGGGCTGGGGCTGGAAATGTATATTTATTTTGTTCAATAGGCCATGGTTGGATTCCAATGTCAAGCATACCACTTAGCATGCTCCAATACATAGCTTTATGATAGGGTGGTACGCTAGTGTGGATATTGGAACAGAGGCCATGTCACGTTTTATTGCTGTAGTCCCATCATGTCTCACGAACTCTGATTTGTAGATGCATTATGGGTACTGTAGTTTATGTAGCCAGAAGTAGCTGTGCTTGTAGTTGGGGGTGTGAACATTTTTAAACATTTAAATGAAATTGGGACATTAACGTTAAGAAAAAATGTATAAATATTCTACAAAATTAAAATCACAGTGCAGTTATCAAAACTACCACTTCCAGGTCCCGATCATAAATGGGGAAAATAACGCAACAATGCTGCAACGTTAGTAGGAGATATGCATCTTTCAAATTATTTTGAAAGCGCTCCGCACGCCATCATCGTTAAATTGGAAAAATGGCAGAGAAAGGCAAGCAACCGCAGCTAACAGCCTGCTCTGCCCTGAGTCAGTACAGCATCGAGTCTGCTGCTGTGCTGTGCTTTTTTTTAGATGACTTAACTTTACAAAGTAACGATTGGTGCGTTGGAAACATGCTGAAGTATGGACTGACTGCTGGGAACAAGTCTACAACTTCATCAGCAAGCTGTCAAACTATCGTAAATAAGTGACAAGCTACACACTGTTTATGAGTGCAGTGCCCAACATCCTTAGCTAGCTAGCTAGATTGCCATCCCTGTGTTTGTCAGTGAAGCTAGCTAGCTAGCAGCAGGCAGGCTACCACAAGCTAAATCAGCTGATGGAATCACTGGCGACCGATATACTATAAGATGTTTTGTTTTTACAACTTTCCCACTGCCTATAAGAGTATGCGTCTGTCTGCCCCAGTGCACGCGTTTCATAGCGAGTGAGTCATGCACAAGACAGGTCGCGGAAGACGATGCTCGCGAATGGATTTTGAATTTTGGAATATTGATAAGTGCCAGTTGGGACGTTGAGTGCGCATTGTCACAATGCTCATTTTGGCCAAAACAGTTGCAGACTCAAATGATCACTATCGAATACAACAGCAAGTGGCCACTCGATAAAGGGCTTAGGGGACAAGTGTTCAGTTTGAGATTCAAAAATATGACTGTGGTAGATAGAACTTCATTGCCCCTTAGCGGTCATACGCAATAGGGCCACCATACGCAATAGGACCATATTCTGCATTGTGAATTCACGTTACATTTTATAAATGTTTCTTATAGCTAAACTAGGCCAGGCTGTGTTATCTTACTTTAAAGGGATAGTTCAAGATTTTGGCAATTAACGCTAGCTGATCTCTTCATCATTACGCTAGCGCTCATTAGCAATCGCTCTCGAACTATCCCTTTAAACCAAGAAATCCCACATAGAGAGACAAAATGTTTTCTAAGGGGGACCTGGCCCAAGAAGACAGAGCCAAAGCTATGCCACAGTTTGGTTTTAGGCTGTTTTAAGGATACTATTGTTGTGGTTGTTAATGTTGTCCCAGGACATGATAAACTTTGTCAGGTTAGGGGTGAGCCACAAGTTGAGGTGCCCTTGTGCACCGTGTTTAGTTTGACCGACCATGTGGTTCTTGTGAATGTGTGGAATATTGCAAGGATTAGCGGTTGTGCTTAGGAGAGCTCTGCTAGTGGAGAGCGAGTGGGAGAGGGATCAGGTAGTGTTGGTGAGAGTGGGGGGGGACAGAGCGGACAGTTGAGTGGGGCAGCAGGAGTAATCTGTCCTTTTATAGCCATAGCTGACACCCGCGCGTAGAGAGAAGATCAACAGCATTTATCTATGCCTGCTCTGAGCAGAATACCACCTGACAGAATGCCTTAGAATATTTCCAAACAGACAACACTGCACACACACCATAGAAGGACTCATGTAGATAGACATTTAGACGTCTAGATCACTGCTCTCTTGGTCATCTGTATTAATTAGGATAACTGCTGTTTAGCTTTAGTTAACCAGCAGTCCTCATTGAGAGAGTTTGACAATAAGGCATGTTGTTACATAGCCATGTGTAGGGTGAGTTAAAGGCCACTGACTAACTGGAGATTGGGGAAAACAAAATACAACAAAGCACTTTTTTGGGGGGAGGGCCAAACGTGTGTGTTTGTGTTAAGGCATGGACACAGCTAATTAAAGGACGGGCAGAAAGATCCAGTGGTTAGATTCTTGAGTCATGTAAATGGTCTCTGGGAATGATGTACATTTGTCATTTTAGCAGACAGTGCGACGGCCTTCTGCACTAATCTGTCTGAAGCGCACAAACACTCATGGGATAGCTAAAAGGAAGTCCGGCTACAATATGCTGTCCTAAGTTAACATCAGAAAATATTACCACGTTGACATCGTCCACTGAATCCCCTTTCACCCTCAAAAGAGTAAGAGTTAATCTTACCAAAAACTACTGTATAAACCTGTAGCTAATATTGTCATAATTTTCATGAGCAAGTCTTCACTACCTAATTCTACATCTAGCTAAGGTGATTTGTGGTGGCAGAATCAGTTTATGAAATGTGCATGAACATTTGCTAGCTAACGCGTTGCTGGCTGAACCAGTCTCCAATCAATCCATATTTAACGAAAGGCAGGGATGCTAACAATGCCAGTTCACACACTCCATGCTAAATACTCCCTCTAGCTAACTAGCTAGTGTAGTGAAGTTCTAGCTAATGCACAAATTATTTTACATGATATCTGTTCTGCTGTGATTAGTGCGCTGAGTTCTACAGTACAGCTGACTTTTCTCTGCAACGTTATCGCGTTGGCCAAATGTTACAAAGTAGCATGGCACAGTGCCAGCTGTCAGTCAGTTACATGCTGATGTCTGAGAACAGTCCCATAACCTTGATGCCTTACAACTTCATCAACAAGCTAGCAAACTAGCTACCGAATGAATGGCCATTCAAACAAGCTTGCACTAGGCTGCTAGCTGGAGCATGTTTTGCCGCCGTAGTAGCCAGTGTGTGATAGCTACCGAGAGTGAATTAGGAACTAGTGTTAGGCGGATGAGCAAAATAAAAAATATAATAATTGAGTTTCATGTTCTACAAGACCGATCAGTTGCGGGACGAGCGTTGCGTAGGAGTGACACGATCTGACGTAAGACAATGAGCAGAGCATTGACATACAGTAGCAATTAGGGTTAAGTGCCTTGCTCAAGGGCACATTGACAGATTTTTCACACAATCTGTTTTTTCTCCCCTTCAGATTCATTGAAATAGAATGAGCATCATAGCCATATTGAGTGTACCTGTACAGTATCTATCAGACCTTGTCCGACTCATCTACTGTAGAAGTTGGGAGGATTTCTAGCTGTTGATTAGGATAGCCTAATAGTATGTGTGGTATGCATGATGGGTCTATGTAAATCGTAATGGGGTGTATGGGATCAAATTGATCATAACAGGTATACTAGGGTTAATGTCATTGCAGGTCATACAGGCTAGTTGTTATGCTAGTTATATCATAATCAAGGTTATAGAGCTTGATAACACACACAGCTCAGCCATTATGAGCCTAGGATTATAATAATAATAAATAATTGGTCATTTAGCAGACGCTCTTATCCAGAGCGACTTACAGGAGCAATTAGGGTTAAGTGCCTTGCTCAAGGGCACATCGACAGATTTTTCACCTAGTCGGCTCGGGGATTAGAACCAGCGACCTTTCGGTTACTGGCACAACGCTCTTAACCACTAAGCTACCTGCCGCCTTATTAGACAATTAGACAACTCTGTCATTCTGTCTTTGGTGGAAACAGTGTAGGGACACACTCACTTACACACACAGCTGTGCCCAAGCTCTGACATGCTTTGGGTTTTATGTTACTGGGCAGGCACTTTGGAATAACATTCAGGTTTTAGGAGGATTGAGCCCCACAGATTCAGAGAGCAAAACAATGGTGGGTCTGGTTGTACCCTATGACACAAAAGCAAAGCACCAATCCTGTGAGCAATGCTGAACGTTATTAGTTTTCTGATGACTGTCTCTCTCTCTCACTTTCTCTCACTCACTCAATTCAATTCAAAGGGCTTTATTGGCATGGGAACCATGTTTACATTGCCAAAGAAAGTGAAATAGATACGAAACAAAAGTGAAATAAGCAATCAGAAATAAACAGTAAACATGACACACACATATGCCTGCTATGAACTGCTGTTCTTCTCTAATCAGGGGTCTGGCATTCAGGCCCACCCAAGATAACTCCCGTCCTGTCTCTCTCTGGGTGGCTGTCTCCTGACTTTGCTTGCAGAGACACAATGATTATATGCTGGTTATCTCTGGTTGCCAGATTACACTCGTACACAAGCATAACAAAACACACACACACACCTACATTAGAGCTCTCTGATCTCTCTTTTTTACTCTGCTATTAGGCCTAGTTAACCACTTGTTGTTTGCAAACTGATAACATTTGCCAATTTGTTATGTCAGGGATATTTAGAATAGGCCACGCTGTCTTGTCTGTTTTTCCTTCAGCACGTGGATCATCTCTATTTTGCCAAAGTAACATAGGCTACTCCTTGATTACCTTCTCAACCTTAAAAACGTTTTCTGTTGAATGACTGAAATGTTACAAATCCCATTGATATGGAATTTGCCATCTTCACTTATGTTTTGGGCTTGGCTTCTTGTATTGTTCATTAGTTGGGCTAGCCTATATAAGTTTAGGGCAACCAATACCTACCTACCGCTTTAGTTGTGCTACAAATGTATATCTACCAATATCTACCAGTACTTACTTACATGTCTGGTCATAAACTTAGGTCTACCAATACATACCTACCACTTTAGTTGGGCTACATCAACTCAGGTCTACCAATACCTACCTACCTCTCTAGTATGGCTACATCAGCTCAGGTCTACCAATACCTACACTACCGTTCAAAAGTGTGGAGTCACTTAGAAACATCCTTGTTTTCGAAAGAAAAGCACTTTTTTTGTCCATTTAAAATAACATAAAATTGATCAGAAATACAGTATAGACATTGTTAATGTTTTAAATGGCTATTGTAGCTGGAAACGGCTGATTTTTAATGGAATATCTACATAGGCGTACAGAGGCCCATTATCAGCAACCATCAGTCCGGTGTTCCAATGGCACGTTGTGTTTGCTAATCCAAGTTTATAATTTTTAAAGGCTAATTGATCATTGGAAAACACTTTTGCAATTATGTTAGCACAGCTGAAAACTGTTGTGCTGATTTAAAGAAGCAATACAACTGGCCTTCTTGAGACTAGTTGAGTATCTGGAGCATCAGCAATTGTGGGTTCGATTACAGGCTCAAAATGGCTAGAAACAAATAACTTTCTTCTGAAACTCGTCAGTCTATTCTTGTTCTGAGAAATTAAGGCTATTCCATGCGCTGTTCTGTGAAGGGAGTAGTACACAGCTTTGTACGAGACCTTCAGTTTCTTGGCAATTTCTCGCATGGAATAACCTTCATTTCTCAGAACAATAATAGACTGACGAGTTTCAGAAGAAAGTTCTATATATCTCTATCTCTATCTCTATATATACAGTGGGGAGAACAAGTATTTGATACACTGCCGATTTTGCAGGTTTTCCTACTTACAAAGCATGTAAGGGACTGTAATTTTTATCATAGGTACACTTCAACTGTGAGAGACGGAATCTAAAACAAAAATCCAGAAAATCACATTGTATGATTTTTAAGTAATTAATTTGCATTTTATTGCATGACATAAGTATGTGATCACCTACCAACCAGTAAGAATTCCGGCTCTCACAGACCTGTTAGTTTTTCTTTAAGAAGCCCTCCTGTTCTCCACTCATTACCTGTATTAACTGCACCTGTTTGAACTCGTTACCTGTATAAAAGACACCTGTCCACACACTCAATCAAACAGACTCCAACCTCTCCACAATGGCCAAGACCAGAGAGCTGTGTAAGGACATCAGGGATACAATTGTAGACCTGCACAAGGCTGGGATGGGCTACAGGACAATAGGCAAGCAGCTTGGTGAGAAGGCAACAACTGTTGGCGCAATTATTAGAAAATGGAATAAGTTCAAGATGACGGTCAATCACCCTCGGTCTGGGGCTCCATGCAAGATCTCACCTCGTGGGGCATCAATGATCATGAGGAAGGTGAGGGATCAGCCCAGAACTACACGGCAGGACCTGGTCAATGACCTGAAGAGAGCTGGGTCCACAGTCTCAAAGAAAACCATTAGTAACACACTATGCCGTCATGGATTAAAATCCTGCAGCGCACGCAAGGTCCCCCTGCTCAAGCCAGCGCGTGTCCAGGCCCGTCTGAAGTTTGCCAATGACCATCTGGATGATCCAGAGGAGGAATGGGAGAAGGTCATGTGGTCTGATGAGACAGAAATAGAGCTTTTTGGTCTAAACTCCACTCGCCGTGTTTGGAGGAAGAAGGATGAGTACAACCCCAAGAACACCATCCCAACTGTGAAGCATGGAGGTAGAAACATCATTCTTTGGGGATACTTTTCTGCAAAGGGGACAGGACGACTGCACCGTATTGAGGGGAGGATGGATGGGGCCATGTATCGCGAGATCTTGGCGAACAACCTCCTTCCCTCAGTAAGAGCATTGAAGATGGGTCGTGGCTGGGTCTTCCAGCATGACAACGACCTGAAACACACAGCCAGGGCAACTAAGGAGTGGCTCCGTAAGAAGCATCTCAAGGTCCTGGAGTGGCCTAGCCAGTCTCCAGACCTGAACCCAATAAAAAATCTTTGGAGGGAGCTGAAAGTCCGTATTGCCCAGCGACAGCCCCGAAACCTGAAGGATCTGGAGAAGGTCTGTATGGAGGAGTGGGCCAAAATCCCTGCTGCAGTGTGTGCAAACCTGGTCAAGATCTACAGGAAACGTATGATCTCTGTAATTGCAAACAAAGGTTTCTGTACCAAATATTAAGTTCTGCTTTTCTGATGTATCAAATACTTATGTCATGCAATAAAATGCAAATTAATTACTTAAAAATCATACAATGTGATTTTCTGGATTTTTGTTTTAGATTCCGTCTCTCACAGTTCAAGTGTACCTATGATAAAACTTACAGACCTCTACATGCTTTGTAAGTAGGAAAACCTGCAAAATTGGCAGTGTATCAAATACTTGTTCTCCCCACTGTATGTATATATATATGTGTGTGTGTATATATGTATATGTATATATATATATATATATATATATATATATATATATATATATATATATATATATATATATATATATATATATATATATATATATACTGCTCAAAAAAATAAAGGGAACACTTAAACAACACATCCTAGATCTGAATGAATGAAATAATCTTATTAAATACTTTTTTTCTTTACATAGTTGAATGTGCTGACAACAAAATCACACAAAAATGATCAATGGAAATCAAATGTATCAACCCATGGAGGTCTGGATTTGGAGTCACCCTCAAAATTAAAGTGGAAAACCACAATACAGGCTGATCCAACTTTGATGTAATGTCCTTAAAACAAGTCAAAATGAGGCTCAGTAGTGTGTGTGGCCTCCACGTGCCTGTATGACCTCCCTACAACGCCTGGGCATGCTCCTGATAAGGTGGCGGATGGTCTCCTGAGGGATCTCCTCCCAGACCTGGACTAAAGCATCAGCAACTCCTGGACAGTCTGTGGTGCAACGTGGCGTTGGTGGATGGAGCGAGACATGATGTCCCAGATGTGCTCAATTGGATTCAGGTCTGGGGAACGGGCGGGCCAGTCCATAGCATCAATGCCTTCCTCTTGCAGGAACTGCTGACACACTCCAGCCACATGAGGTCTAGCATTGTCTTGCATTAGGAGGAACCCAAGGCCAACCGCACCAGCATATGGTCTCACAAGGCGTCTGAGGATCTCATCTCGGTAACTAATGACAGTCAGGCTACCTCTGGCGAGCACATGGAGGGCTGTGCGGCCCCCCAAAGACATGCCACCCCACACCATGACTGACCCACCGCCAAACCGGTCATGCTGGAGGATGTTGCAGGCAGCAGAGCGTTCTCCACGGCGTCTCCAGACTCTGTCACGTGCTCAGTGTGAACCTGCTTTCATCTGTGAAGAGCACAGGGCGCCAGTGGCGAATTTGCCAATCTTGGTGTTCTCTGGCAAATGCCAAACGTCCTGCACGGTGTTGGGCTGTAAGCACAACCCCCACCTCTGGACGTCGGGCCCTCATACCACCCTCATGGAGTCTGTTTCTGACCGTTTCAGCAGACACATGCACATTTGTGGCCTGCTGGAGGTCATTTTGCAGGGCTCTGGCAGTGCTCCTCCTGCTCCTCCTTGCACAAAGGCGGAGGTAGCGGTCCTGCTGCTGGGTTGTTGCCCTCCTACGGCCTCCTCCACGTCTCCTGATGTACTGGCCTGTCTCCTGGTAGCGCCTCCATGCTCTGGACACTACGCTGACAGACACAGCAAACCTTCTTGCCACAGCTCGCATTGATGTGCCATCCTGGATGAGCTGCACTACCTGAGCCACTTGTGTAGGTTGTAGACTCCGTCTCATGCTACCACTAGAGTGAAAGCACCGCCAGCATTCAAAAGTGACCAAAACATCAGCCAGGAAGCATAGGAACTGAGAAGTGGTCTGTGGTCACCACCTGCAGAACCACTTCTTTATTGGGGGTGTCTTGCTAATTGCCTATAATTTCCACCTGTCTATTCCATTTGCACAACAGCATGTGAAATGTATTGTCAATCAGTGTTGCTTCCTAAGTGGACAGTTTGATTTCACAGAAGTGTTATTGACTTGGAGTTACATTGTGTTGTTTAAGTGTTCCCTTTATTTTTTTGAGCAGTGTGTGTGTATATATATATATATATATATATATATCGTACCAGTCCAAACTTTTGACCGATAGTGTATATTATTCGTAGCCGTCTATTTACCACCACAAACTGATGCTGGCACTAAGACCGCACTCAACGAGCTGTATAAGGCCATAAGCATACAATAAAATGCTCATCCAGAAGTGGCGCTCCATTTGGCAAATCTGACCATAATTCTGTCCTCATGATTCCTGCTTACAAGCAAAAACTAAAGCAGGAAGTACCAGTGACTCGCTCAATACGGAAGTGGTCAGATGACGCGGATGCTACGCTACAGGACTGTTTTGCTAGCATAGACTGGAATATGTTCCCGGGATTCATTCAATGGCATTGAGGAGTATACCACCTCAGTCACCGGCTTCATCAAGAAGTGCTTCGACGACGTCGTCAACACAGTGACCGTACGTACATTTCCCAGCCAGAAGCCATGGATTACAGGCAACATCCACACCGAGCTAAAGGCTGGAGCTGCCGCTTTCAAGGACAATAATCTGGACGCTTATAAGAAATCCCGCTCTACCCTCAGACGAACCATCAAACAGGCAAAGCGTAAATACCGGACTAAGATTGAATCCTACTACACCGGCTCTGACGCTCGTCGGATGTGGTAGGGCTTGAAAACTATTATGGACTACAAAGGGAAAACCAGCTGCGAGCTGCCCAGTGACGCGAGCCTACCATACTAGCTAAATGCCTTTTATGCTCGCTTCGAGGCAAGCAACACTGAAGCGTGCATGAGCGCACCAGCTGTTCCGGACGACTGGGTGATGACGCTCTCCGTAGCCGATGTGAGCAAGACCTTTAAACAGGTCAACATTCACAAAGCCGCGGGGCCAGACGGATTACCAGGACGTGTACTCAGAGCATGCACGGACCAACTGGCAAGTGTCTTCACTGACATTTTCAACCTCTCCCTGACCGAGTCTGTAATACCTACATATTTCAAATAGGCCACCATAGTCCCTGTGCCCAAGAAAGCGAAGGTAACCTGCCTAATCGATTACCGCCCTGTAGCACTCACGTCGGTTGCCATGAAGTGCTTTGAAAGGCTGGTCATGGCTCACATCAACACCACCATGCCGGAAATCCTAGACCCACTCCAATTCGCATACTGTCCCAACAGATCCACAGATGACGCAATCTCATTCGCAATCCACACTGCCCTTTCCCACC